TGGTCAAGACTAGTACAAGCTATACTCTTAATATTTTTTTATCTTTTGCTCTCGGTTTTCTCTCTTATTTGAAGCTCGATTTGCGTGAAAGAATGCATGAATAACCCACGGCTTTGCTTATAAAATGATGGAGGTGAAATAATATTTTAACTTAAGGATGCCACATGTTATCACCGTGGGCTTTCGTGGCATTTTCTTTGCTTAGTTGTCTGGCTAGGTGGCGTGAAGAATGGCTAGTCATCAAGTGCATATGCCATACTATGCGACATAAGTGCAAGCAAGTAGGTGAGTCACTTGTGCAACTTGCAGAAGGACTTATCTTAGGCTAGAAAATTCACGGCAATACTAAGGGTCTTAAGCAAGATTTAATTAGATATGATCATTACACTTACTAACTAAAAAATTAGCATGGACGGTGGCTTATGTGTGCATGCACGCACGATAGCGCGCGTTGCGCACGGCGGCGCTACGGATGGCGCGCGGGAAAGCACAGGACGTGTGTGTGGACATGGCTCGAGCTATAGATGGACATCTTATGCTAGAAAATTCACGGCAATACTAAGGATCTTAAGCAAGATTTAATTAGATATGATCATTACAATTACTAACTAAAAAATTAGCATGGACGGTGGCTTATGTGTGCATGCACGCACCGTCGCGCGCGAACGCACAGGACGTGTGCGTGTACATGGCTCGAGCTATAGATGGACGGTGTACCAATGTGAACGCGTCGATGTATAGGGATGGTGAGTACACATGACAACTTAAACCGAATTTACTCATTTTTGGTAGGAACTTAACTTCGAAAATTAATTCGAATAATCTTGATTTCCAATAATTAATCCCGACTAATTATATCCGTTTATAAAAATAAACGTTTCAGGAACTAATTATCGAAATAAACTCGGTTAACATAAACTGAGTAGACTTTCGACTTAAAGTCGAACTTATTGGCTCGAATGCTGAAATGAATAATATTAATAAAATAAAATACGTCGCTTTATTTAATAACAAACTGGGTTATTACAATCTACCCTCCTTAAAATATTTCCGTCCTCGAAAATATAAAACTGGACATATATATACAGAATACAAGAAAAGTATATACATCAAAACTCAAAGTAGGGAAAGCGAGCTCTAATGTCTGCTTCACGCTCCCAAGTGGCATCGGACTCTCCGTGGCGATTCCATCTGATACGTACGAGGGGAATATCTCATCTATGGAGCCGTCGAACCTGTCGGTCCAAAACTACTACCGGACGTTCCTCGTACGATAAGTCTGGCTGAATCTGAATCTCGCTATGCTGGAGAACATGAACTGGATCACACACGTACTTCCGTGACATGGATACATGAAAAACATTATGAACATTGGACAACTCGGGAGGCAAAGCTAAACGATAGGCTACTTCGCCCACTCGCTCGAGAACTTCGAACGGGCCGATGAAACGGGGATGTAACTTCCCTCTCTTCCCGAATCGAATGATCCCACGGAATGGACGAACTCTCAGAAAGGCTCGTTCTCCGACCTCGAACTGGATATCTCGTCTATGCTTGTCGGCTGATGACTTCTGTCAACTCTGCGATGTCTTAAGCCTCTGTCTGATCAACTCAACTTGATCAACTGTATCCTCGATCATCTTCGGACCGAGTACCTGACGTTCACCAACGTCGTTCCAATAAAGGGGCGAGCGGCATTTACGTCCGTAAAGTGCTTCGAAAGGAGCCATCTGGATCGACGCCTGATAACTGTTGTTATAGGCGAACTCGACTAATGGCAAAATCGACTCCCACTTAGCACCTCTGTCTAGAACCAACGCTCGGAGCATATCCTCGGGCGTCTGAATCGTCTTCTCTGACTGACCGTCTGTCTCTGGATGGTAAGCCGAACTGAACTGCAACTGCGTGCCCATCGCCTCGTGTAAACTCTCCCAAAACCTGCTGGTAAATCTGGGATCTCGGTCTGACACGATATGAACTGGCACTCCGTGGAGTCGAACGATCCCACGGGTATATATCTCGGCCAACTTCTCCATTGACATGGTCATCGCTACAGGTAGGAAATGTGCGACTTTCGTCAACCTGTCCACTACTACCCAAATTGCATTGTGATGCTCAGACGACCTAGGTAGTCCTGTAACGAAATCCATCGTGATCTCCTCCCACTTCCACTTTGGAATCTCAAGTGGTTGTAGAAGGCCCATCAGACTCTTGTGCTCGACCTTGACTTGCTGGCAGACCAAACACTTCTTCACGAAACTGGCAACATCCTTCTTCATTCCCCGCCACCAAAACGACTTTTTCAAGTCGTGGTACATCTTGGTGCTACCGGGGTGAGCTAGATAAGGCGCGGCTTGTGCCTCGGTCAAGACCTCCTTCTGCAAAGTCTCGACTTTCGGCACTACGATCCCGCCTCTGAACTCCAAGGCCCCATCCGTGCCTCAGGAAAAACCATCGACTCCTCTGGCGTGAACCTTGGCCTCGATAGCGCGAATAAACTGATCAGAAGCCTGCTCCCGCCGTATTCGATCTCTCAACGTGGCCTGAATCTGCATCGAGCTGACACTCCCTGTGATCTCCGCAGAAAGTGACTCGACAACCTGAATCTGCATCCGGGCAAATTCTCGAACAAGATGGCGCTGCTGAGTAATAGAACATGATAATTCACCCTTTACCTTTCGGCTCAGGGCATCAACTACAACATTTTCTTTCCCCGGATGATACTCAATCGTGCAGTCATAATCTTTAACAAGCTCCAACCAATGTCGCTGACGCATGTTGAGCTCCTTCTACGTGAAAATGTACTGCAGACTCTTGTGATCGGTATAAATCTCGCACCGACAACCATAAAGATAATGCCGCCATATTTTAAGTACATGTACCACTGCCGCTAACTCCAAGTCGTGCGTAGGATAGTTCTGCTCATGGGGCTTCAACTGACGTGAAGCGTATGCTACAACCTGGATGTCCTGCATAAGTACACACACCAAGCCCTTCCTCGAAGCATCACTGAAGATGGTGAAACTTCGAGAAGGATCCAGAATAGTCAGCACCGGTACCGTCGTAAGCCTCTCTTTTAGCTCCTGAAAGCTCGACTCACAACGATCTGTCCATTCGAACTTCACAGATTTCCTCGTCAAATGGGACAAAGGGAGGGCAATCTTCGAGATCCCCTCAATAAATCTGCGGTAATAACCTGTAAGGCCGAGGAATCTACGAACCTCGGACAGATTCTTTGGCGCTGACCAGTTCTGAACTACGGCAATCTTAGATGGATCAACCTCAATACCTGCCTCAGTAATAATGTGGCCAAGAAAAGCCACGCGCTGAAGCCAAAATTCGTATTTAGAGAACTTAGCATATAATTTTTCACGTCTAAGGGTCTCAAGAACGGCCCTCAGATGCTCATCATGCTCCTTCTGGCTCTTGGAATCAATGAATACGATAATGAACTGATCGAGAAAAGGATGGAATACACGGTTCATCAAGTCCATGAACACCGCTGGGGCATTACTAAGACCAAACGGCATAACCACGAACTCGTAATGACCGTATCTGGTTCGGAATGCTGTCTTGGCGATGTCTGACTCCTTGATCTTCAGCTGATGGTAACCTGAACGTAAATCAATCTTAGAAAATACACAGGCGCCCCTCAACTAATCGAACAAGTCGACAATTCTAGGAAGCGGATATTTATTCTTGATTGTCAACCGGTTAAGATCCCGGTAATCGATACACATACGCATAGAACCGTCCTTCTTCTTGACGAATAGAATGGGTGCTCCCCATGGTGAAACGCTCGGTCGAATAAAACCGAGATTCAGCAACTCCTGGATCCAAGTCTTTAACTGCTGTAACTCCTTAGGTTCCATTCTGTACGGCGCCTTAGATATTGGTCGGGCTCCCAGAATAAGATCAATAGAAAACTCCACTTGCCGGCTGGGTGGACCGCTTGGAAGCTGGTCTGGAAACACGTCCATAAACTCACGAACGATAGGAATGTCATGAGGTTTCCATGCTTTCGGTTCTTCTCCGACAAGGCTCACTAGGTACCCCTGGCAATTACCTCGTTGTAAGATCTTTCTGGCTTTTGCCATGGAAATAATATGAGGTAGAGTACGGGTCCTGGAACCGAAATAAGTGATCTGGTCGTCCCCCGGAAGATGAAGAGTAATCTCCCGGTCGTGACAACGGATATATGCATGAAAACGGGTTAGTCAGTCCATACCGAGAATGAGGTCAAAATCCCTCATCTCGATGACATAAGCGTCGGTAGTCAAGATACGGCCGCCGACGGAAAGGCTGAGATTCTCGGCTTTAGTATCAGTCACTCTCTTTCTTCCCGAGGCTAAACTCACCTCGAGACGATCGATAGCGCTGACTGAATGAACCCCAATGGCATCAAGACGTCGGTGTGATAAAAAGGAATGAGTCGCTCCGGTGTCGAATATGGCAAAAACAGGAACATCGTTAAGAATAATAATCCCAGACATAGTACCTGGGTGCTGGTCTACTTCGGCCTGATCGACGGCATAAACACGAGCATGCTGTCTCCTGCGCTGCTGCTGCTGGGGTTGTCTCGGAGGCTGCTGTCTGGGCTGTTGCTGTTGTTGAGGTTGCTGCTGTGGTTGTTGTCGTGGTTGTGGTCGCTCTGGGCAGTTAGAGACAAATTGTTCAGGCTGGTGGCAATAATAACAAATGTTCTGACCCGAATGACATTATCCATGATGACGTCGTCCACATGTGGGGCAAGGGGGAACTAATTGCTGCTGCCTCTGGCGGTTCCTGCGATCGTCTGGGCCTCCCTTCCACTTCCTCTTTCCTTTGTTCTTTGGTTGTTGAGCAGCTACTGGTTGGGCAGGTGGCGCCGCTAATGGTTGGGCAACTGAATGGACCAAAATTTAAACGGTCTCCCTCTGGATACTGGCGTCTATCTTTTGGGCCCTGGTAACAGTATCTGCATAGGTCTGGACGTCGTGGCCAACGATGTTGTGACGAACTACTGGCAAAAGTCCGTCAATGAAACGCCTCGATCTCTTCTCCTCCAAACCCAGTAACTCGAGAACAAAGAATCCGAGTTGAGTAAACTCACATTCGTACTCGTCCACCGAACGAGTACCCTGTCTAAGTGCCAAAAACTGATGCTCAAGATCTGCGCGATAATAGGCTGGATAAAACTTTTCGCGCAATATCTCCTTGAATCGATCCCACGTACAATTCTCCTTCTCACCGGGATGCATTTCCCAGTAGGCATTCCACCAAAGGCGTGCATCACCAGTCATCTGGATTTGGGCACAAATTACGCGGTAACGATCAGGACAGTCCATGACCTCAAAGATAATCTCGAGGCCCTGGATCCACTCATCAACAAGTCGGGGATCTCCCTGACCGGAAAACATCTCTGGGTGGTAGTCGCGAAACTGAGCGACTATAGTGGCTTGTGGAATTTCCTGGTGATCCTGGTCTCTACGTCGTGCCATCTGTATAGTCAAATGTTCAATTTGATCAAACACGGAAATATAGCAAAACTAACTGATTAATAAGGCACACATATCTCTTGACGAGTTGCTAAATTAACCCGAGTAAACTAGAGTCGATCGGATAAGCTGGAATAAATCGACTATATCCTGAAAATACTCTATGACTGACTCGAGCATCCATACTGGTTCTAGGGTAAAATATCTGACACTCTCTACTGAGAATAGACATAGACATTTGTTTAAAAATATAAACTGGAAAATCAACACTTATCTGGTAGTCGGCGAGGCGTGAGCGTGGCGTGGTCGTGTTTTTTGTAAATTTCCTGACTTAATTAAGTATTCAGATACACAAAAACGTGCTCATAAGTATGAATTGTAACACACTGCTATGTCATAATTATCAGAGTAATTTTTTCACAAAAACTTGTATAAATAAAACGTATTAGTTTGCAAAATCCTTATCGAGATGTTACTAAAATCATTCAGTACCATAAAATTTGATGATTTTGTTTAAATATAACTGGCATGTGATATGTATAAAATCCGAGCGTAAAATTGGATCAAATTTTGAAAACTGACATGTAAGTTTAGGAAAGTCATAAAATGTCAGCAGAAGTCAAAACGTGGCAAAATATATTTACAACAATGTACAAGTGGCAATTAGCCCAAAATCTGTGACCATAATCCATCGGCCAAGCTCACACCTCCGGTCCGACCCTGTGACCTGAAACACATGGTTAAACGTGGGGCGTGAGCACTAAAAGCCACTGTGCTCCGCAGGAACTCATACTAAAGTAAACAGCAATAATAATTATAATATCATGATCAATGGCATATATAAACGTGGCGTGGTACCAGTACAATAAATATGGCATGGCATGGCTGTGGCATAACTGAATCTGCCAGCACAAATGTGTTGGACACCATGTGCACACTCTAGTAGGCAGATATAACCACTAGAACCTAGAATGGACTTACGGCACCTGGACTGGCCACCATTCTAAGCAGATACATAACATGATACATACCTCAAACATGATAGTTGTAATTATAGTCAATGTAATATTCAGTCTGAGTTCCCACCTGAACTGCTGAAAATGTAAGTGTTGACGGCTGCTGACTAATCAAACTGTATAAATAAACAAATACTAAGTACTATGCTCAGACTGACTGAAAATAGTTGCTAAGATGCTCGACTCGATTTAAATATTTAACTATATTTTATAGAAATAATCTCGGGTTCTAACTTTGACTAATAAATCTAGACTGAACTGAAAATACTGAACTGAACTGGTACTGCTATAATGGGCTGATTGGACTGAAAATTTAACTGAAATATTGAACTGAACTCGAACCGGGTCACTGAGTCCTAAACTGCTCAAATAACCGATCTGAACCAACCAGTTCACTGGCTGGTCGGACCGCCGGCTTGCTATGGCCGGGCGGTCGGCCGCTGGCTGGGCCACCGGCACGGTCGCACGCAC